CTGACCATGACAACTAGGGAATCCTGTCTGTTGTATCTAGGAAACGTGTCTGGAAGATACTTAGTTGGAAACATTTCATAATTGGTTGGTTTTTTTTAATGATAGGTTGGCAAAGAAATATTCAAATATCCTCTTAAATTGTACAATCTAGGAATAGCTGCTCCAATAATATATTCCCAATTGTGTAGCTCTGCTCTTAGTAACACCTTGGAAACAATTTCGTTGTATTTGTTTTGTACAATGACAATAAAGGCTATACTAATACTAAGAAGACTTGTGCAGGGCTATGATTTAAAGTACTCTTCTATAAGAACATGGCTTTCTATAACTAAACTGATGTCTGCGTGCTACTATTGTGGACTATAATTGAGCAAGAGGGGAGCCCTAGACAATAGTTGCTTGCTGTCACTTTGAATCATCTCTACTGAAAGTTGTTTGTTAACTTATCCATTTATTCCTTTGTGATTTTCCTATTCCTTCATTCTCTTTTTTTTTCAACCTTTTAAAATATCTTCCTCTGGAGTCTAAGCTATTTTCATGTTATACCTTGCTTTAGGAGGAGAAACCTGTTGAATGTATAATGTGCAACTGCCCTCCTATTTTTAATGCTAAAATAAGGTTATGGTGGCCTCATTTAGAGGAAGACACTTCCATGCAGTGGAACCTTCTCTATATACAGGTAGTCCTCTTCCCTATATAAAGTTGGTATGTTTTAAGATCAAGCTCTTTTTTTCTACCTTCTCAATTAAATTACCTTCTTCCCAGAGCTGAGAGGTCAACTAGCTTGCATCTTACCTAAGGCAGAACTAGAACTCAGATCCCATTTTCTAAACCCCTAAACTAAAATGACTCTACTGCATATCACTGTTTTATAAATCCATTTCTGATCTATAAATTTCCCGCTATTTTTACGAGGTATTATTTGTTAAGAGTTTGAATATGTTGTTGTTTTCACTTTTATTTAAAGAGAACAGAAAAAGAAGAAAGGGAAAAGTGAATCTCACTGTCTTCCTCGGTTACATTTCTATATGCATATAAAGCTATATCGGTTGTTCATAAATCTTTTGTAACATTCATTCTTCAATAATTTGGACCATCAATTTATCTTTTCAGTGTTAGAATCAAATCTCTTAGTGACAGGTTGAGTCAAGGTAAAAGTTTTTATTTCTACTATTTTATTCAATTCAGACTTAATTGCTTCCACACTTTTCATAACTATTCCAATGTCATAGAGATTATTATTGCCTTGAATACAAATAGTAATCTTTGATAGGATGTCTAGAAATGAACACCAGGTTAGGATCTGTAGCCAAATCTTCCACAAAAAAATAGACAGGTCTAATATTTTAAATCTCATTAAGTCCACAAGGAGTTAAAGTTCTCTGTGGGAAGATTGTTTGTCACAGAGTCTCTATCCTATTCTAATACTTAAACTATCTTTCCCCAACATATTCTCTATCTCTTAATATTTTAGGAAATGAGATTTTACAGAGGAAAAAGTTTGTGGAGACTTATATAAAATATTTCTCCAAATCAGGGGCGTCAAACTCAATTTCATTGAGGATTCATCAGGACTGTGGCTAATCTTGGGAGGGCGGGGATGGCCGGACATGACCAACTGGGTGGGTGTTGTCAACTGGGTGGGTATGGCCAGCTTGATTCCACTCATTAGGTGTGGCCAACTAGGTGGGCGTGGCCAGTTTGATACCGCTCCTCAAACTGCCGGCATGTTTCCTCTTCGCCGTGGGTAGACTGAGCCAAAGCCATGCTGGCCCAATGTTTCCTCTTTGCATTGGGTAGAGCGGGCTGAAGCGACATGGGCTGGCCCCTTACATTTTCCTAGACGGCCCTTTGGGCTGGATCCGACCACATTGTAGGCAGGATCTGATCTACAGGCCTTGTGTTTGACACCCCTGCTCTAAATGCATCTTTAGTGGATCAAAGACTGTCAATTCTCTCAGTGCACTTGATGATTCTTTTGTTTTCTTGAACTTGTTCACCTGACTTCTGACATCTGGAAATGTGATTTTAATTGTTCCAGGAAGAATGTCACATTATAAACCAAACACCTGATTTATATGTGATGCTTATAGAGTTTATCTGGCCATAAGCCAGAAAGTTAAACAGGAGAAGGCTCTTGGGAGTATGCAGAAGAAATCTTTCTCTAAGAACATATTACCGTAAAGTGAAATATTCCAGCACTTAATGCCAAGTATCTTGTATATAGTCTTTACTCTTCTTTTAATTTGTCCAGCTCTAGATAGCAATTCTAGTTCATTGTGGCTGAACTGAAAAAGCTAAACAAGGTTGGATTTTCACAGACTGGAGAGTAGGAAATGCCACCAGTTTGTACTAGTTGGTTGTAGTGTTTAAGATGTTGGACTAGAAGTAGGGCAATCCAGATTCAGTTCTATCCTGAACACTATCAAAATAACTTTATGTCAATCAATCACTTGCATTCTAACCTTCCTCAAAACCTGCAGTTGTAGGAATAAAATGAAAGGATATTCTTTATAAACTGCCTCCAGGAGAAAGGGCAGGATATGAATCTAGCAAATAAATGCATAAATAGATTGGCAGTGTGGGGGGAGGGACCATTCCAGAAGAAGATGGTGGCAAAACACTTCTTCACTGGCTGTATTCAAGAAGTCAAAAAAAAGTGACATGTTTTGATTCAGAGCTCTAGTTTTTGAAATGCTACCTTTCCCAAAGTCTTTTATACTTTTAAATGCAAGTATAAACTACTTTTCAAATAAACAAATCCATTATTTAAATAATGTTCTTCACTTACCATTAAAATGTGGTAGCAAATATGTTTCATTGTACCTCTGCAGTATTTGTTCCTTTTAGGCTCTTAACATAATAGGATGCAAATGGTCCTTGACCATTGCCAAGGTAAAATAGGAGTCTGTGTGCTTATTTACTCTCCTTTTTTACCAGCCATTCTTACAGGCTCTCTGTGGCTAACTAAACAAGTTAGCAAACACACCCTTCCACGTGCATGCAAAAACAGAAACTATATAAATAAATCATGAATGATGCATATTATAAAGCAGCTTCCTACTGTGTCAACTAAAAGGGGAAAAATTCCAAGTTTCTGAAATAAAGGACAGATTAAATAGGCCAAAATTCAACAACTTTGTATAAAACTTGCCTCTGAGGTCCATCAGATGATAATCTTGCCCAGATGCCCTGCATTTGACTCTCTGAGAGTTAGTTGGATAGGAGAGGAATGTCAAATAACCAGGCCTGAAGCCATGATGACCGGTACCTTGAATCTTATTGGGAAGCCCATTGGTAACCAATGGAGCTCCAAAAATATTGGAGGAATCTAATTATATTGGGACATACCCATCACTGCCTGTCTGGGCCACCACAGCAGCTTTTGGTTGACATACAGGAGAGAAGAAAAAATGGAAGGAACATGGGTAGCAAGCAAGAAGAAAGACAAAAAGGAGACTTATGAATAAGCAATGAAACTTGTGGGACTTCAGAATTCAGACTGACAGGCACTTGGTCCACAACACACCTGACATAACAATGGTTGAAAAGAAAAAAGTATGGTTCATTGTCATTGCAATATCTGGAGATGCACGAATTGAAAATAAACAGCTAGAAAAAATCACAAAGTACTGGGACTTGCAAATTGAAGTTGAGCGACTGTGGAAAAAGAAATTGTCTGTTGTCCCGATTGTAATTGGAGCCCTTGGAGCAATACCTAAAGGGCTACCTCGCTATTTGGAAATTTTAAATTTATCAGACTTGAACATTCTGATTCTACAAAAAGGATATGAGAAAGCATATGAAAAAATCGTGGAATACCAGGTCTTAAAAATCGAAATTCAACGATTGTGGCACAAACCAGCAGTGGTAATTCCAGTGGTAATCGGCACACTGGGTGCTATTCCAAAAGCACTGGAATTACATTTAAAACAGTTAAAAGTTGACAAAATCACCATCAGTCAAATGCAAAAAGCTGCACTGCTTGGATCTGCACACATATTACGAAAATACGTTATGACATCCTAGGCCCCTGGATGGGGCCCGACTAGTAACCAATGCCAAATCCGGCAAAACAACTGGCCGCTGTGATACAATTGTATATTGTATCACAGCGGCCAGTTGTTTCACTGGATTTGGCATTGATTACTAGTCGGGCCCCATCCAGGGGCCTAGGACGTCGTAACGTATTTGTTGGCTGGTCCACTTGTAGCCCACTTGTTGACGGATGTCCAGGGACCTCAACATCCGCCGCGGCCCTTGTTAACCCGCGCAACGACCGATGCGGTATAGAATTTTTATTCGTTTCTTTCATCATATTGTATGGGTTGGCGGGTTTTTTTTATGGGGCCAGGTTGCCAACCTGACCCCAACCCTCCTCCTTCCTCACCTGGGCTTGGGACCGGCAATACAATATGGCAATATTATTATTATTATTATTATTATTATTATTATTATTATTATTATTATTATTATTATTATTATTATTATTATTATTATTATTATTATTATTTTGAGGAACTGTGATTGTTGGAACGTTCTTTGTTAAGTTGATCGTTATTTATATTAGTTTTGTCCATGGATTTACCTGTACTAATAAAATAAACTTATCAGAGGAAGCATGTAAAAAGCAGAACAGTTTAATTCATATTTGGGTACCTATTAAAATATACCACTGTGTATGGAGAGTATAGAGGATAGCAGATGACAGAGGGAGGGAAGATCCATTACCAAGGGAACAAATAGATGATGGGGCAATATGCTGTCTCTGTAAACTGCTTATAGAGAGGCTGTAAAACACTGTGAAGCTGTATATAGTTAATGCGATCTTGATACTCCAAGTTTGATTACTAATTTTCCTTTTTTTGTCAGATTCCTCAAACATACAATATTTCCTGGCCATGCCTTTCCTATCTTTTCATTAAAATTCTGTTTGTCGTTGACATGGGTTATTTTGTTCCTCAAGAGTAATTTTCTTATTGGGCTTTTTTTTCCTGCAGGATCTGGGAATCTCCTCTTCTCTTGGCTGCCAAGGAGAACAATGTTCAGGGTCTTAGGAAATTAATTGAAGATGGTTCTTGTGACATTTATCAAAGAGGTAATTAAACCTACTATGAAGAGAGAATTTTCTTGAACTATCAAGTTCTGCATTAAAATTACATGCATTATTTTCTCCATTCTCTGATCCTCTGCAGTACATATGTGCAGATGTATATAGAAATGTGACTCTTCTTTCACATTATGTGGTTGTTACATGCTGGCTGGGAAGTTCTGGGGATTGAAGTCTACAGGTCCTAAAGTTGCTGAGACTGAGAAACATTACACTAGGGGTGGGTTCCAAAACTGCCATCAAGAAACATTTTGGTATAAAAACAATATTTTGAAGCAGAACATTTCTAGATTACTTGGAACAGTCCATTCCAGGGTCGGAATGTTCTGTGACTTAACATTTTGCAACCCTTTAGTATATACCCAAGACTAGTGAAACACCCAGGTGTATGCTTATTGCAATTGGATGAGAAGAGAAGATGCCAAGATAGAAGAATGGTGTACAATTTACAGTCAAACTACAGTGCCCTGCCTTATAGTACATAGCAAGATGGAATAGTTCCCTTGCCATCACAGAGCCCTACTTCTGTTTTGGTCTTCTTTGCAAAGCTCTAAATTTTATATTAAAAGATATCCAGAAGTGAGGCAAGCCAATTTTTTTTTTCCCTTTCATTTTAAAAAGACAAGACAATAGATAGATGTTTTTCAACTTACATATCTGTCAACCTGTAATGAAATGAAATGAATTTGAATTGAATTGAATTATTTATTGGCCAAGTGTGATTGGGCACACAAAGAATTTGTTTTGGGGGCGTATGCTCTCAGTGTACATAAAGAAAAATAAAATACATTCATCAAGAATCCTAAGATACAACACATAGTGATAGTGATAGGTTACTAAATAAGCAATCAAATCATACATGGGTATGATTTGGTTTGATATGGTAGTTTATAGTTCATAACCCTCAAGAAAAAGCTTTTATTCTGTAGTTGATCGATTTAGCTGTTGGGGTTGAAAACATGTATTTTTGTTTATCTTTCATGTGTATGGGACACATGTCTGAATCAACAACAAGGCTTGGTTGTAAACTCATTGTTAAGTGACCTATTTTTTTTTAATTGTTCTGTGCAGGAGCAATTGGGGAGACAGCTCTCCATGTAGCCACCCTCCATGATTGTACAGAGGCTGCTGATTTTCTTCTGGAAGTTGCTCCAGAACTCATCAATGAGAAAATGACATCAACACTTTATGAAGGTGATTATATTAAGGAACTGATCTAGGATTTTTTCTTTAAATTTCAAAGTTTATATCGATAGCATATATATATATAATAGTTATTGAGATCTTCCATACCTAAGTCCAATGCCCAAATGACATATAATACAATAGCAATAAGACTTATATACCTCTTCATAGTGCTTTATACCCCCCCTCTAAGTGGTTTACAAAATAAGCATATTGCCTCAGTAATCTGGGTCCTCATTTTACCAACTTCGGAAGGATGGTAGGCTGAGTCAACCTTGAGCCAGTGAGAATAGAACTGCCGGCAGTCAGCACAATTAGCCTGCAATACTGCATTCTAACCACTGTGTCACCACAGCAATGTTATGATAAGCTCTGCTTTTTTACCCTTGTGTCACATGATACAAAAATATGTTAGAAGTGGAGCTTATGATGCAACATAATGATTTAGCTCTTTTCTTTATGGAACATCATTCCCCCCAAGGTATGATTACCCCCCCCCCCTGTTATTTTTTCTGAAAGGCCATGAAGACATGGTTTTGTCAGCAGGCCTTGGCACCACAAATGAATATGGAGTCAATCCAGTGGAATATTTGACTCTGTTGCTGCTGCCAAGGACTGGGGAGCGTTAATGGGTTTTTATGTTGTGGATTTTTAATGTTGTAAACCTCCTGCAATCACCTATGTGTGAGTTAGATGTAAGTTTATTAAACAAATTTTAAAAATTGTTTAATGAATAAACATTGTAACACACGATTTAACACTTGATGCAACACTTGCTATTGTTGCAAATATTCATGATCTCAAATCAGAAAACTGAATGATAATAGAAACAAAGTGCTTTGTGTGTAGTAAGAATGGGACTTTTTATCTTTTTTTCTGAACTATTTACTGTCTGAAAAGCTAAAGCATCAGAGTTGAAATTTGCTGCTAAATCCTGTTTTGTAGCAAAGAGTGACCATATTAGGAAGTGGATTTTCAGTGGGAAGATGGTAAAGAAGGGAATGCTTAAAAAGCCATTAATTCTACCTACAGTCTCAGATGCAGTGAATTTAAAAGGGGGGGGGGGAATCCTAATCATAGGATTCACAGATGTCATTAATGACATATTTAGTATAACTGGAGCTTTGGCTTTCATTTCCATCTGAGTGTTTGAACTTTGTATTGGATCTTGTAAGTTAGGAAAGTTTTGCAGAATATGAAAGATGTTCTTTCTAAATTTCCTGTTGAAAAACAAATCTAAAATGGTGGTTGGTTTCTTAGCATTCCATAATTGGAAACAAGCTACTATCGGGTTATAAAGAATATCCTAATTTGAATTTTCAAAAATATTAATTGCAGGACAAACAGCACTCCACATTGCAGCAGTTAATCAAAATGTTCACTTAGTGAAATGTCTGCTGAAGAAGAGGGCTCACATTTCTACTCCTCGAGCTACAGGACACTTCTTCAGGCGTAACTCCTCACATCACTCCTATTTTGGTATGATTCCATTGATTGCTCCAGAGGACAGAGATAACTTGATTAGCAGAAGAAAGGCAGTACTCCGCAGAGTTAGCTCTGCTCCTCAAAAGTTCTTTTCTATCCCTCCTGTTACTGCTGGATCTGTCACTTTAGTAAAGAAATCTTAGACTAGTTTTATCTGCAAGTGAGTAAATATAATGGGATGAATCAATATTTAATCATACAGGAACTTTGGCTTTCATTTCCATCTGAGTGTTTGAACTTTGTATTGGATCTTGTAAGTTAGAAAAGTTTTGCAGAATATGAAAGTTGTTCTTTCTAAATTCCCATTTGAAAAACAAATCTAAAATGATGGTTGGTTTCTTAGCATTTTATAATTGGAAACAAATCATTATTGAGTTACAAAGAATGTCCTAATTTAAATTTTTAAAGTTGAGGATAACATGTAACTAAAGAAGGATCCTTGAAATAACATCTTAAATCCCACTACCATGAGCCCTACAGATTATTTTATTTAGCTCATGTATGCAGAGGCATGGCTTTCCTAAATAGGCAGCTGCTGTCATACTAAAAGTACAAAACAAAAGAAAACTATTAAATGAAAACTGATTAATCAAGGGCAACTTGTTCATTGATCCTCCAACATAAATGGAATCAGCTAAATAGTGAACTCTAATTATGAGTCTCAGAATAGTTTTTTATTTCATTACCGAAACTTTGTTTTAATTTTGTTTTCCCTCACAAATTCTTCCATAGGGGAGCATGTTTTATCTTTTGCAGCCTCTGTGGGCAATGAGGAAATTGTTCGTCTATTAATTGAAAATGGAGCTGATATCAGGGCACAAGATTCTCTAGGTAAGGTGCCTACAGTCAACTTGTAACAATATGGATTGTTTTTGGTAGAAACAATGAGGAACTATATCTGGTTTGAATTAGGTAGACCATTGAGTAATCAAACACTTGGCACTTACGTACAAATTATATGACAGCATTTAATATATTTTTTAATAACCTTTAATTCCTAGGAATTTTTTGGTGTTTTATTTTTCTTCTTGTTTGTTTCATCTCCAGGAAACACGGTTCTTCACATTCTAGTTCTTCAGCCAAACAGGACATTTGCATGCCAGATGTATAATTTCATCCTTTCCTATGATAAACAAGAAGGGAACTTGGAAGCATTAGACTTGATTCCCAACAATGAAGGTCTTACTCCATTCAAACTTGCTGGAGTTGAGGGTAACATTGTGGTGAGCACATGGCCCAGTTGATCTCTAGGGGAATATTTTGGGGGGAGGGGAGGGAGAATTTTAAAAATATAATTAGTTTTGATATCTTGTTTTGTCCTCAGAAAAGTCCTAAATATTTATATTGGGCTCCCTGACATTAAATACTAATTAGACCAAAAGCCAGATTCAGAAGTTAAATCTTGGATTGTTAGGGATTATTGTTTGGTGCTGGGCTCATAATTTAGATCCTTCTTTTTTCTTCATATACAAAGCAACAAAATTTAAAGTTCCATGTATGTGTTTCATGTTTTACCTAGGAATGGAAGGAAAATATACAACCAAGTCTCATATATATGATGACATACTTGGTATTTATTTAAGTATGAATAGGATACTCATGCTAGTATAAGCAAATCTTTTTCCTTCAGATTATCTTCTGATATAATTAAAATTTATTTTTAGTATGAACATCTTTCTCTTTCTCTTAATTGGAAATGTGATTTTTCTTTTTCTTTTGGGTGTTGTTTCAGTCTTGACTCCTGGCAACTATGTGGATGGACTAGGTCCCTTCAGGCATGGTTTTTCAGAAATGATTTTGCTATTGCCTTGTTCCTAGAGGTTAAAGAGAGCAGAATGACTAGCTCAAGGTCATATCATTGACTTCATATCTAAAGCAAGACTAACAGCTTTGGTAGATCTAGAAAACAGGCTCCTGGTTTCTAGATCAGTGCCTTTAATCAGGATCCTAATGGATAAATCAGGATCCTGATGGATAAAGTTCTGGATCCTAAAAGCTTATAGTCTTTGAACCATTCAGGCTGTATTTCAGAATTTCTACACTTTCATCCAATTCCAGCATCCAGAGTTGAATTATTTTGAAATGCAATGCCATATTTAATACATTCTAGTACTGAATCTTATCAGCAACCTGATGCAAACAATCCTGTGCTGTTTTTTCTTTTTCAGATGTTCCAGCATCTTTTGCAAAAGCGTAAACAAATAATGTGGTCTTTGGGACCTATTACTACCATTCTCTATGACCTTACAGAAATTGATTCCTGGGGTGAAGACCAGTCTTTTTTGGAACTTGTTGTATCAACAAAGAAAAGAGAGGTACTATGGAGCTCAGATACTTTTAATCTTTGTAGAATGATGACTGCTTCTATTATTGAACAAGGAATTTGAATGTTCTCCTAGATCATGGGTGTCAAACTCAAAGCATCATGTTGCCATCACATGACATTTCATGACGTTTTTTTCCCTTTGCGGAGCTGGGGTGGGTGCGGCCTGCATGTAACTCATCTGACCTGCGGGCTGCCAGTTTGACACCCCTGTCCTAGATGTTCATATATATTGCATTATCTATGAAGTTTTTGTCCAGCTGATGAAGAAGCAAAGATTGCTGAGATTCTGATAATAGAATTCACATCACAGTCTTAAGAGAAAAGTTTTTCAATGCAAATTGTGTAATTACTAATACAACAGGTGGAGAATTTGATTGAATAAGCAAAATTTCCTGCACTCTAGTTACATTTTTTCATTCAAATAAAGAATTAGACCGTAGTCAAAATATTCATAACATAAATCAACTATTTGAAAATTTGTTTCTCCTGTATTTACAGAATGTTATATGATGTTTAAAAAAATAACAATTTAGAAGAGCCCACTATATCATTCTTTGATTGATAGAAAGTTGATTTGTTGCATAGGCTTCTATTTGTTTTCTAATTTTATTTTTCATTCAGCTCTGAAAATGATCTCAGAAAGTTCAAAATTTCCTTCAAATAAAATATAGTGAATTGGTTCATTTTGTTTATATAGCAGCTTTCTTCCTGGAGCTGAAGGTGATTTACACAATGTTTCCTCCTACGGATTTTTTTTCCTTCAGAACAACCTTTTGACGTAGGTTGGGCTGAAAAACAAGGACTGGCTCAGTGCACCCAGTTCCCTAGTTCAATGTGAACTTGAACCTGTCTCTAGGTTGCAGAGTTCCACGGAACTTGGATGGCTATGATTAAGCTGAATTTATTTAAGGGCCCAGGAACTATATAAAACATTAACAGTATTACTGTTTGTAATGGAGTTAGTGATATGATAAAGATTAATCTGGAATTTGTTCCATTATTTAGCCTTACTTCACACACACACAGACAAGCCAAGTTTATTTATTTCTTGTGGTTAACTTCTCATTACAAAGTTGCAATTTACCTTTTGACCTTCTGGTGTTCCTCCATTCCCACCTGTGTCACTTTCTGAATTTGTTTTGTACTTAAGGATGCAAGAGATGCATCTGTACAATAAAGAGTTTTAGTCTCTGAAATGTAATTTCCAAAATAGAAAAATCTTCACAAGTCTTTATGGAACTGTAGACAGTGAAGAGATTTATATCCTGCCATTATTTTATAGTTTGTTTGGTAAAGCTGGACATGACTGCACTTTCGGCAACTTTGCCTACCAAAAGACCATTTGTATAATCATTCTGGTGCGTGCAAAAAGGGAAGATTATTGTGGCTGTTGTGCCTACTGGTTTCTTTCCTTGATAGAACGTGCCATATTGTATATAAATTGTTTTTTCTTCCTGGGACTACGTCATAGCATTCAATCTTGCTGAATAAAATGTTTAACATGGGGATTTATATAAGCAATTGGATTAGGCCATCACATTATTGTGTGCTGTAAAATGTTATTGCATCTAACTCGTTCACAGAAGAATAACTAATAAAAAAAAGAGCCAAGGTGGTGCAGTGGTTAAATGCAGCACTGCAGGCTACTGCTAGATCAGCAGGTCAGCGGTTCAAATCTCACCGGCTCAGGGTTGACTCAGCC